GGCCCCGAAGCGGCTCCAGGGTGATCACCGCGATCGGCTTCGCGTGGCGGCTGTCGACGAGCATCGCGTCCAGGCGACGGGACCGCGCGAGGCGGAACTCCGACTTCAGCCGCTCATTCCGCCATTGGCGGGCCTCCGCGTCGGGAACGGGGCGGCGAGCCCGCGAGGCGCCGCCGTCCATCGGCGCCGCGGGGATCCCCCCCGGCGTTCCCTCACCGGGACGCCAAGAGGAAACGGGCCGTACCACGGCACTCGCGATCGCGACGCCGCCGTCGTCGTCTTCCGCCTCGCTGGCGAACCCCGCCGGGAGATCCCCTTGCAGCCACGCGATGCTCCCCTGCACGCCGAGGTGTTCGTATTGGAAAAAGGAAAAGCGATTCGACTCATCCTCGGAGAGCGTGCCGTGCACCCCTTCAGGCGGATCCGGATCGGTCGGCCCGCGATGAAGCCGATCGTGAAAGCCGTGATGCGCGCGACTCTCGCGGACGGCGCAGACGACCACCTCCGTGGTGGCTAAAAGCGCCTCGTATAAAAGAGCTCGACCCTTATGGTTTACCACCCCCCCTCCCGCGGCTATGCTCACCCCCTCACGATTCAGCTCCTTCGGAAGGGCCTCATCACCCCCTCCAGGGGCATCCGCCATCGCCGTAAAGGTGATGCTCCCCACATCACTGCAAAGCAACCGTAGCGGCAGCGTGACGGCGGTTTCGGAGGGGGCCGCGACGGAATCCCCCGCCCCCTCCCCGTCAGGGAATCCCCTGGCCTCAGCAAACGCCACGGCATCCTCGTCGGATTTCGAATCCCCCACGGGGATGGAATCCATCTCCGCACTGGTTTCGTGTTCTTCGCTTTTTTCTAGCGGGTGGATGTGGCTGGGGTCGACAAACCCATCCCGTGGTTGGCCACGGGTGCACCAGAAGTAAAGCCGCGCGTAGAGCTCCTGCGCGAAGCTGAGATCCCCCTCTCCGGGGGCCGAAGAAAAGGAGGGATCGCCTGGGGGGGTTGCCGTGGAGTCTCGGGCGCCGGTTGCGATTCGCCGCGGCGTTCCAAAGCCCATTCCCCCCGCCGACGGCATTCGAATCACCTGTTCAAACGAGGAGAGCATCGGATCGATCGCGGGGCGGGGGGGCGCGCCATTCCCAAACGAAAGAGGCTGCGGCGACCCCACGACGGCGTCAAGGCGACGATCGCAGAGGCGGCGAACGACGTGTGGAGCGTCGTCGGCGTCCTCCCCGCCATCCTCGTCGTCGAACGGGAGATTAATGCTGCACCAATTGGAGTACATCACGAAAAACTTCACCTCCTCCTCTTCCTCTTCTTCCTCCTCGTCTCTGCAGATGGAGTGGATTCCCCTTTGTTTGGTTCGAGAAGCATACTCCACAGAGGACCTCCGGCTGCGATTTAGATCAGAGTCGAGTTGTTCGTCCAGAACGGCTTCGGGAGGGGGATTTATCGGATGGATGGCGTCCGCGTCGCTTCTTCTCGCGAGATCCACACGACCATGACGCTCGTGCGTGTGCGCCCCTTTAGGAAAGACTTCTGTGATCCCTCGTATCGAAAGCAGGCGCTCATTTGCCTGTAGAGCAGGCTCTGTATCCTGGGTTGCCTTCACGGCCTCAACCCCAGCAGAAGATGACATGAATGGTGGTGGGGAGGGAGGAGGTGGGGAAGGTGAACGTTGCCACCTCCCTGCCAACCCCTCTCGCGTGCGGCTCGCAACCCCACGCTCGAGGTGGACGTGGGATCGAGAAACCGACGACAATCGAGGCTCGGCGCGGTGGAGTAATGTCTTGCCACCTTTGCGAGGATGGGAGCGGCGAGGAGGCCGCCTAAAGCCCCCCTCTCCCATCCCCTCCCCTTCCCACCCGACGGGCGCTTTGGAGGGGTCGCCGTAATTCACCTCCCTCAACATCGCCTCCGCGTCTTGGCATGGGATGAAGAGAAACTTTCGATTTCCAAAACACGGCGCGACGTGATCGCAGCCCCCCACCGCGCGTCGCGCGATCACAACATAGCAGTACCCGCTGTATACCTTCCCCGCTTCTGTAAGACCCTGGGGGGGGATGATATCCTCAGAGGAGGTGTTGGAGCTCCTACACAACCCTTCCTCATTCCTCGCATGTCGATGGTGGGTGTAGTATCGGTTATACCTCTCAAACTCCCCCACGGGGCTTTCGTCGTCTTGGTTTTCAACGCGGTGGGCGTAGATCACACAACGCGACATGAGGCTGAAGGCGCAACTCACCGGATCCGAATAGGCGGCCTGGTACATGAAGAATCGTAATGGAACGCCCAACGAGCCCTCCCCCTCGCGTTCCCCTGAGAGACCAAAAGGGGTGGAAGCCCCCTCCCCTCCCTGCACGCCGTGATCCCCCCCCCCCTTATCGACTCCACCCCGATGCTATCCTGCGAAAAACTCCCTGAGCGCGAATCGACGCAGCAGTGATCGGGTCGACGTCGCTTTTTCGGAAAGGGGGAACCATCCCCTTCCCTCTCAGGCGGAAGAGGGGTCTCCCCTCTGATCCCTTGATGATTCTCGCTCGCTGGATCGCCTCCCCCCATCTCCGAACTCCAATCCGCGGAACCCTCAGGGTCGCCATCTGAGAGATCCACAAAGCGATCTCGGTCGTTGAGGTGTTGATTTTTTAATTGGTGCAAAGACATCCCCTTCGCATCGCCGCCCTCCGGCGCAGCAGGGGGGGCGTAATAATCTGAACCCATCTCCGCCCGGCCGAGGGGGTAGGCGAGGATGGAATGCGGATAGCCTTGGGAAGGGCTTTCCGAGAATTTTTCGGCGAAGAACACCTCCCATCGCCGCATCGACAAGAGCGCCTCCAGCTCGACCTGCTCCATCGAGGCAAACCGCAGCCAGGGGTGCAAAACCAAATCGTTCTCGCTCCGCTCCACGGCGATCCCCAAGTAGTGATTAAAAAGCGCCGAGACGACTCGCTGGCGTAGCCGTTCCACCCGCCAGCCAACGTCGTCCATCACGAATTGGAGCTCGTCGTAACTCCGCCGCACCACTCGCGGGGCCTGACGACGGCGATAAATTTTATCCAAAAGAAAGGCCCGCCCGCTGCAGGGCTCCCGCGTCCTCGCGGGGGGGTTTAAAAGCGCGTGCGGGGCGCCCGGACGGCGTCGCGTGCCGATCGCCTCCCAACAGCGGCTTCGCCATCCA